CCCACAGCCACAAGGACAAGTAAACACACAGAGGTTTATATTATTTACAAACTACATGGCCTAATGGCTCAGGCTTCTTGCTAACTAGCTCTTGTATCTTAAATCAACCCATTTCTATTAATCCATGTTTTGGCACCTGTTCTGTGGTTTACTGGTCTGCTGGCATGCTGTTTCTTGGGCAGCAGGCTGGTGTCTCTTTAACTCTGCCTTTCTTCTTCCCATATATCTGCCTGGATTTCCTACCTGCCTCTAAGCCGCCTTACCATAGGCCAGTGCAGCTTTATTGATCAACCAATCAGAGCAACATATATTTACAGCATACAGAAAAATACCCCCAGCACACATCATCTCTCCTTTACTCCCTCCAGCTTCTTCCAGTTAGCCTCTTTCCAATTCCTTCCAGGTTCCTTTCTGAAGTTAATAGCCTATTTTTTCTTTCATTACTGGTGTGTGTGTGTGTGTGTGTGTGTGTGTGTGTGTGTGTAAATACACTAAATACATAAATGCAATTTGCTGAGTCTGTTTTTGTTGTGTGTGTTTAGTTTCATGGCTGACTACTTTGTACTAGAAAATCAATAAAGGGCCTCATCCCTGGGAGGGTCTAATTCTCTCTATCCCAGACATCATCAGTTACTTGTAGTTCTTTGTCTAAGGTTGGGGCCCCACAATATTTTCCCCCATTCATGTTATCATGTCCATTTCTCTTGCAACTATGTTCATGCTTGCCAGTCAATATACTGGGGGGCTCATCCCTGAGACACCTGTGGCAGTGTATACAGGAGCCATGGAGGTTCTCAGCCAGCCCATACCTCCTCGTTATTTCCATCTTCAGAGGCTTTGATCTGCTCTTGTATCACTTTCCACTGGGACTGGGAGGCTAAGTTTCTAGGATGTCCAGCCTTCTGTTACAGTTTTAAAAAGTGACACCCTAAAGGGCCTTATATGAGAGGATGCAATATAGAACCCTGGGACTTGGGGAGTCTTGGGATTGGGACAGTCTGAGTGTGTGATCAGCTGTTCAGAATGTCACCATTTAAGACACTGATTTGCATTTCTTCCTTGTTATTTTCTTCTACAGGATAAGAGAGTTGGACTGAGCCTAACAGGATTTATTCTGTTTTCTCTTTTCCCACTGTGGCTTCAAGACCTGATGACTTCTTTTCCTGCATCTGACTGTGACTATGTGTCTGTGTCCTGAGAGCACAGTGTGAACAGGTGATGAGTTCAGCCCTGCCCTGAGCAGCAATAAGTCCCATCCACACATTGATCACCATTCCTTCCCCAGTCATCATTGCTGCTCCAACAGAGGCTGGGCTGGCAAACCTCCATCCCTGCCTGAACTTTACTTTTCACTAAGCTACAGCTTCATTCATCTTTCTTGAAATTAACCATTTTTTATTATTGTGACACTTCTTTCAGAGTAGGTTTTTGATTAGTGTTGTAAAGATTTGTAAAACTTTATGGAGAAAATAAAGTCTCCGAACCTTACAGAATTGTGTGTGCTGTGCTAACTCCATTACCTCTCCTGAAGTTGAAGTCTGTGTGGAGACACGTGAGGCCCGTGTGTGCACAATTGTTGATCCTTCCACCCTGGGCTTTCATATAGTCCTTTCCCACCTCTGCCATCTTGCTAGCTCCTCATCCCTTTTCTCTCAATAAACCTGTTCACCAGGACATGTGATCAAAAGATCTCAGGCATTTGTAGGGTCTGTCCAGTGTCTGTGCTGTTCTTTCATGTTGGCAGTCATGATTCTGATATTCCATCAAGAGATGTTGAAATTCACGGTACTACAGGATTTACATTTGTTCTCAGTTCTGTGTTTCAATCTGGTGTCCTTGTCTTCTCTTGTTGATGGTCACTGACATAGCTAGGAATGTTTCTTTCATTGTCTAACCATGGATGTCTGTGGTATTCTCACCTAATTTGTTAGAGTCCCAGCCTGGTTTCTGACAGCCTTTAGACGCTATATGTCAGTAATACCAGCAGGAGGAGCTCTGCCAACAGGAGATTTGCAAGTTCAGGGACAACCTGGGCTACATCCTGAGACCCTGTCTCCAAAGGAAATCATTAAAATCTGATAAATAAAAAAAGAATCAAAAAGATAATTTAAAAAATCATAAGTATTGGACAAAGCTGTTCTGCGCTACTGCCATTCTACAGATATCTTAACTAAGCATTTGAATTTGAGACAGGAAGTAGGTTTATGTAAGGAAAGTTATGTGGAATATATAATTTGGGCACTACCTGTTGAAAAACTGCTTAACTCCCTAGAGGATTTCACAGTAGTCACCAAAGCATAGGCACAGGAATTCAGAGCATCGAATCACTTTCAATGAAACTGGAAATCCTTCAAAATGAAGTAAGGGAATCCTATGTTAACACCTGTCTACAGAGAGGGTCACAGCAGAGATCAAGAGGAATGATGTAGATGAAATCAATAGTAATCTCTGTAAAACTAAATTAATTGACAGTCTAAACACTTTATGCAATGCCTGAGGGATAGAGATTCTGCTCCAGTTCCAATAGAAAGTTAATCAAGGGAGAGAGTGTGTTTGTGGCCGTAAGGCACAGTTGAGCATTGTCTCTTGTGTGCTTCTCTGGATCCCAGGGGAAATGCACATGGCAGTTTCTCCAACTCCTGTTAAGCAGTACCAGGAGCAGAGCCCATAAAGAAGGGAACAGGGCAGGAAAGTCAGGTTTCTGAAGCATGTGATGGGGATCTTCCTGCGGTTGTGTCTGTGGAACAGATACCTGCCTCAGGCAAGGAGCACATTTCCCAGCAAACCCTAGTGTCCCTTCAACAACAGGGCATGGCGGCAATCCTCTTCCTAAAGCTTCCCCATATCCTGCCATCTCTGTAGGGGTGTCCTGATCCTCTCTTTCTACCTGTGTGCAGAACTTACATATCTCTCTTCTCTAGTCTGCTAATTCCTTTCAGCATCCTTGCGAACTTGACATACTGGCCAGTATATATTTTACCAGGGTCCAACCTGCAGGAGAGTCAGGAACTGGCTCACAGAGTCCCAGAACTCACACTCCATGTCATATTTCAGCAACAAAACATCCAAGTCTGGCCTCTGGGATCCAGTTAATGGAGCATTGTGGGGCGTTTACCCACCACCCCCACAGCTTCCCAGAGTTTTCTTGAGTGCGAGCAGCAGGAAATATTAGATAGAAGGATTTATAGCGGAGAATCTTGCGGAGATAAACAGATAGAAAATAAAGGATAGCCTCGAGAGGGCCTGGAACCTATTCCAACGGGCCCCGACTGTCTCTGGTCCAGGGTTTTTATAGAGACACCAAGGGGAGGAGCAAAAGACCTCCTCCCCCAGCACAGCCAAGTGCAGGCCATCTCAGACACTTGCACTCAGGCCCGTGGTCCTGATCATCCTCTATTCGGACCTGCTGGGTAAAGCCACGAGGAACCCCAGAATGGGCTCCCACAGAGCATACTGGTCCTGGGGACAGGGAGTTGAAGAAGAAGGTTGGCTAGAACCATTGCCCTGAATTCCCAGTGTCTGAGATCTCAGTTCTGCTAGTAGAAATGGATTGGTGTCTCTGACATGGTTGTCACCTAAAGACAATCAGAAGTATAAGAATTCTCAAGCCCTGTATGTCTCCACTGATAAGAACAAATGTATATTGATCCTCAAGTAAAACTTCTGGCCCCAGGTTGCCATTATTTGGTATTATCATCAACAAAGTTAGAGTCTCAACGTTCTCAATTCCTAAGGCAGTCAGTATGGATTGATATATGCCACGTAGGCATGTTTACCTTTAGTTTCACATAGTTTCTAAGTGTGTGTAGACATATTGAGATCAAAATGCTCTAGAATAGCTGACATATTTCTCCTTGTGTTGGGACTCAGAAGAACATCTTGATCAAGTCCAGGACATGGATCAGGGTGAATCAAATTGTCTCCAGACACTGCTCTGGGGATACCAAGACAAAGAACTGGGTCAGAGTGAGGAGATGGATATTTGGGATTCATGGTTCTCAAGAGTTGATCTTTCCATCACATGACTAACCTTTTTTTTCTCTCTCTCTCTTCTATTGGTAATTCTTAGAGAAGCCCATCAGCCTAAACCAATCAGGGTCAAAAAGTGAAGCGAGACCAGTGCTAACTCAGACTCCACTTATAAAGGAGAAGGGAACACCTGACCCCATACCTTTCAATTGCTAGTACTGACACTATGTCTTTGACCCAGAACCATCTATGGGAGTTCAGAGTTTATGAGGGAAGAGCCTCTGCACAGAGGACCAAGGGCTCAGACTGTCTGGTGTTCACCATCCCAACATCTGCATTTTTGCCTTAACTCAACTGCACACTCCTGTGGTGATCTTTTGTTTGTGCTTTAAAAAATAAGCTCACCTGAAGATCAGAGAGTGGAGCTAGCCACTAGATAGTCATAGAGGACAGGCAGTGCTGTCACATACCTATAATCTCAGAACTTGGGAGGAATTAGCAGGAAGATCAGAAATTCAAGGCCACCCCGGGCTACGGAATAGTTTAAAAGAGAAACATAACCAGGCAGTGGTGGCACACACCTTTGATCCCAGAGCATGGAATCTCACACTTTTAATCTCAGCACTAGGGGTTGGCCACAGGAAGCGATATGGCTAGGCAGAGAGAGGAATATGAGGTGGGAGGAAACAGGAGCTCAGTCTCCTTTCAGGCCGAGGATTCAGTACAGGTAAGAACTCTAGTGGCTGGCTGCTCTGTTTCTCTGGTCTTTCAGTTATTACCCTACTATCTGACTCCGGGTTTTTATTATTAACACCAATTAGAATTTATGTTACACCCCTTTGCCTGAGGATGCAGGGGTATTCAGTTTGAGGATTTGTGGAGACAGGATCTTCTCCTTTCAGTTGAAGAATTGTCAAGCCATGGTGGCGGCAGCGCAATCTCCAGATAACGGAGCAGCCTCAGCTTAGCAGAGCAGCCTCAGTTTAACAGAGCGGCCAAGGCAACACCACTCAGGACACCCGTAGATCACCTTTTCCCATGGCTTTGTTATGGCAGACTGTTGTATATCAACATGCCCGCGGACAATGTGTATCCCTTCATCCTATGCTGACCTTGACAGAGCCGCCAGAGATATTTTCAACAAAGGATTTGGCTTTGGGTTGGTAAAGCTGAATGTGAAAATGAAGTCATGCAGTGGTGTGGAATTTTCAACATCTGGTTCATCTAATATGGACACTGGTGAAGTTAGTGGGACCTTGGAGACCAAATACAAATGGTGTGAGTATGAGTACAGTCTGACTTTCACAGAAAAAAATGGAACACCAATAACACTCTGGGGACAGAGATTGCAATTGAAGACCGGATCTGTCAAGGTTTGAAGCTGGCATTTGATACTACCTTTTCACCAAACACAGGAAAGAAACGTGGTAAAATCAAGTCTGATTACAAGAGGGAGTGTATAAGCCTTGGCTGTGTTGTTGACTTTGATTTTGCTGGACCTGAGATCCATGGCTCAGCTGTCTTTGGTTACGAGGGCTGGCTTGCTGGGTGCCAGATGACCTTTGACAGTGCCAAGTCAAAGATGACAAGGAGTAACTTTGCAGTACGTTACAGGACTGGGGACTTTCAGCTACATGCTAATGTCAATAAAAGAACAGAATTTGGAGGATCAATTTATCAGAAAGTATGTGAAGATTTTGACACTTCAGAAAACCTTGCCTGGACATCAGGTACCAACTGCACTCGTTTTGGGATTGCAGCAAATACCAGTTGGATCCACTGCTTCCATCTCTGCAAAGGTCAACAGCTCCAGTTTTATCGGAGTGGGCTATACTCAGAAGCTTACACTGTCTGCTCTGGTAGATGAAAAGAGCTTTAATGCTGGAGGCCACAAACTCAAGATTGCCTTGGAACTGGAGGCTTAATCCAGTGGAAAGAAAACTCTGGGAAAGGATTATGAGAAGATTTGGCCTTAAAATATTTCCATGTGACCAGCAGGCTCCCCCTCCCCCCCCCCCAGGAGGTGATCAAATCAAAGGATGATTAAACAAGAGCTGTATTTTAAATATTTAGAGAGTTTCCTGTTGGCTGGTTTCTAGTTGGATGGTTATCTAGTTATCAGTGCTGCTGGCATGCAGCCACCTCTACATTATTTAAATGTTTTTAACTGTTAAATGTGCTACCCACCAATGATGAAACAGATGTTTGTGAAAACTGTTAAAAAAAATTCATGCTACACTGTCCTTTTACCCATAGTGGAAAACTGGGCTCTAAAGTGATCACCAAATCTAACTGATATTTGTTGAGGACTATTGCAAAGCCAGGCACTTGGTAGATTCTCCAATGTTACCTAGGGGTAAATCTGAGAAGCAGACCTCCTAAAAGTGAAGCCTAGAGAAGGAAAGGCAGGTTTTCTTGATAATGTGGTGAAGACATTCTTTCTCACATATGTGAGACATTCTATCCAGCTCAGGCCTGGATACCTTCCTCCAGAAAGACCTAGAGACCCCTCTACACCTGGACACAGCATCAAACCTCTGGACAAGTGCTGAAACCTGAGCCACATCTGACCTCACAGCCCTTGGAGTCGTCAGGGAGGGACAACTTAGGTAGAGGAAGTCTCCCTCCTTCTGCACGTCTGATGCTTCCCATTTCTTCCCCATCATGCAACAGCTATGCAGCCATGGGAGCTGCCGCTGACCACAGACCCAAGCTATGGCACCAATATAAGACCAGAACTAAGCAATGATGTCTGAATGGACGCAGATGGGGCAAGAGGAGGCCACATCTGCATAGACCCAAGGAAATGTTAAAAGAAAGTACATCTGGGTCCTTGCGGACACGAAATGGTGGCCATAACATGGGTGGTATGAATTTCTTTAGAAGGCTTCTCATGGGTATACAGAGTATTGTGCTGCATGTCTGGGTCTTGAGGGTCTGTGGAGAGTCAGCCTGGTGTCATAGGGAGACACTGGGGGAATTTTTCATTAGGAATCATCAGAGAGATATCAGTAGTGCATTATCTTTCTCAGCTTCTGCTGCTTCTACTCTTGGCCTTCCTTGGCCATGGTGTGCATGGCCACTGACAGAGCAGCCAACTCCCATCCTAAATTCCTTCATCCTCCCTCAGATCCCTGTGATCTCTGATCACCAGGAAGCCAAGGCTCAGTGCAGGTGCCTGCTGTGGGATGGTCTGTATGTCAAATTACTCTGGTCAATAAATAAAACACTGATTGGCCAGTGGCCAGGCAGGAAGTATAGGCGGGACTAACAGAGAGGACAAAAGAAAGAATAGGAAGGCGGAAAGAGTCACTGCCAGCCACCGCCATGACAAGAAGCATGTGAAGACACCCGTAAGCCATGAGCCACGTGTCAAGGTATAGATTTATGGAAATGGATTAATTTAAGCTATAAGAACAGTTAGCAAGAAGCCTGCCACAGCCATACAGTTTGTAAGCAATATAAGT